GACCTAAAAGAGGTCTGAAGGGGTTAAGTCCGGTGATCTTGCAGGCCACCTGACAGAACCATGTGTTCGGTATAATACTTTTCTTTTGCTTGCATCATTTTGTTATATTTTTTAAAAAAGCTTTGTTACTATATATGCAATAAAGCATATTCTCTCTCTCCCCAACAGTATGTTTGTGTGATCCATTCAACAGCATAATCAAAAATTCTATAAAATACAACTGTAACTGTCATTCGTTTCAGGTGCGCCAACTGAAGCAGGCGGTTCCTTTCGCGGTGTGCGGAGCAAACACCGAGCTCGAAGTGCGTGGACGCAAAGTCAAAGGCCGTCTCTATCCTTGGGGTGTTGTAGAAGTTGAGAATCCAGAGCATTGCGACTTCATCAAGCTGCGGACGATGTTGATCACGCACATGCAGGATCTGCAGGAGATCACGCAGCAGGTGCATTATGAGAACTACAGATCCGAGAGGCTGGCAAAGGAGGGACCTGCTGCCGCCAAGANTGCAGGAAGAATCCTAATAAATTTCAGACTTTTCAAATTGACACTGATTCGAGTTCATTGTTCTACCATATGAACCAAAATTCACAAACGGATTTGATTGCATTTTTGAAAGATGCAACAAATATGAGGTAACCACAAAAACAAGTCTGGAAATAGGTGAGTCAGGCTTAAGAACTGGCATAAGAACTTTATATGAATCAATTTGTTGAAAATTAGACCAAATTTTACAAGAAAAATTTTCCAACAATTGCTATCCGAAATCATTGATGTGTGAGTGAAAATATACCCTGTTTGATATAAATAGGACAGGTTTAAAAATAGGAGTTAGATCACTTAACTTTAAACTATTACAAGAAACAACAATTTTCACTTCAGGGTTTTCAACAGAATTTAAAAAAAAAGAGGAGAACATGAAAATACTCAACATAAACAATACTTACACTTGTTTTTTTTCGAATAGACAAATCAGTGTAATTTTTTTTTTAAAGAGTTAATTTCTCAAAAATTCTGGTTACTAATAATGAATAATAGTACTTTGGGGTGTCCGGTGGGGTCCAATAAAATTTTATTGGACCTAAAGAATGATTCTCCACAGCTCCCTACGAAGGCGAGGAATATTTCTGATAAACCAAAGCTTCGGAAAGGATACACCCAAATATGTCCCGTTTACAGTGATGTTTATAGTACTTTGGTTGAACAATGATCTGTTAGATTGGTCTATATTAAAATATTTTATTTATCTGGTACTGTAATTATGGGCATTAACTTGTTTTCCAATTCATTCAAAGGTCTGTTATTTAGGAGCAGTGATTGTTTTGAATTTATTTTAATTTCATCATCATTTTGCGTAATATTGAAAGTCTGCCATATTTGATGGTAAATAACTCTTCCTACTCGTCAGAAGTCAAAGAAATAATACCAGAGAATACACAGTAATTGCACCACACAATAAATGAATGAACTGCTCAAACATTAATTTTAAATAACAGAATCAGGTATTATTTTTGTATGATTTCGTTTTGTGAAGTGCGATTCATCATCTGAAGATCTTGATCTTCAGATGATGTAGTGCTGCAGGTTTTTTCCTGTTAAATATAATATTTCACTATGAAAAAAATCCTATTTCAAATCTGCGTTTATGTAACTATTAGAATAAATAAGTTGAAGAACTTTCTGGAATTCAGAATATACCTCTATATTAAGATTTCATCATAATTCATTCACTGAACAATTTCTCTTTCAGTGTTGAAGATAAAACAAGCTCGATAAGTGACAAAGACAGGATTCTTCAGGAAAAAGAAGCGGAGCTGAAGCGTATGCAAGAAATGATTGCAGCAATGCAGGCTAAAATGCAACAGACGCAATAAAAGTATTATGTTCCTTTAAGTTAGACATATCGCAACTCGTTTACTTCATTCTCGCTCAGATCTTAGAGCGCTTCTATTCGAATATTTATGTATAGTGGTCTTACTTATATAGTTGTGACAAGCTGTGAGAGAAAAGTGAGTATTTTTATACGAATCGAGGTTGTTTGATTACTTTACCGTAAATAGCATTATTCTTACGAAAATCTCTCGAATTTGATCCCTTCAGATTTTATGACGTTATTGACTACCAAGATATGTGCTATATGTATTAAATTATAGTTACTGTTGCCATAGTCTGCTATGTACTGGAGAATATTTTCAGAATTCACTACCGTGTCATAACGTTCTCTGCAAACGTTCATTTCCAGGTATTTTATATAATAAAAATCTCCTGTCTCTTGGTTAGCCACACTAAGTAGATGTAAGGAAGCAATTCCGGGTTCGGTGAGCGGGAGGAAGCCCTGCGAAATCCTGTTGGTGTGGGGTGAGGGGCGGTACCCGCAAGGATTTCCCGAAAATCCACCCCTCCACGCCCGATCGCATCCAACGCCAGGGTACGTTCTCTTATTTCAACGTCTTCAAACGACAAACTTTTCAATTTGAGTTTTAAAACTAATCTAATGTGAAGGATGAATTTGATGATTTTTAACAAGTTTGTTAATATCAGGCTCGAATTTACTCAAAAACAGCCGTAAGTCACCGCGTTCGGTAATCTGCAACCGATTTCTCTTTTTAGTTAGCAACGTTGCCACATCATTGAATCTACGTTCACACAAATACAATGATGGAAATGCTATCAAAATTTGTTGAATGATGGACCACAATCCAGGGTACAATTGCGGGATTGGCTTTTGTAGCCAAAATTCTTGGTATCCATTTTTGAATTTTATTTTCATTTCCTCGTTCGTTATCAGTTCCACGACTTCATCTTCCAGCTGGCGTGATCCTGCTGTGTTGACATTTGAAAAAGGATCCAACACCCAGTCCGGTATTTACAATTTTAAACTGTGCTGGAGTCGTTCTGCAAACTCACTGTGGAGGTTCTCTAAATGTTGGCAGTAAACAAGCAAGTCGTTGAAGGATACTGCTAAAAAATTAGGGAAATTGCGAAACTCACTTCTGCCGATGTTATTCTTGTATAAGAGCAATTTGGCTGCAAAAGCAGCAATGACATTTTTTGTTTTGATCAAATTCAAGTCTCATCACCTTGAATTTGGAGATTGATATCATTAAATAATCTATACAGGTCTGTCAAGTACGAAATATCACTCTTTGAAGTGATGAGGTTGTCGTGCAATTCTTTGTCTTTGTTTTCCAAGAACTCTATTACAGAGTCATATAGATTGTAAAACCGAGTCAGACAGTTACCTCTTGATAACCAACACACTTCTGTGTGAAATAACAATCGGTTGAAATCTTCATCATTAGCAACACAAAGCTGATTGAATAATCTCTCATTTAAAGAGCTGTTTCGGATTTTATTGACTGCTTTGATGATATATTGCAGTGATTGAGAGAGGTGCTCACTCAAATTTTTCGCAAATGTTGTGTATGAATGACGCAATGTACAGCGAGCACATCTGGAATTTTATTTTTTAAGTAAGCTATGTAGCCTTTGTGACGTCCTGTCATAGCCGGAGCGCTATCCGTAGCAGCTGATATAATATTCTTCAGTGGAATCGAGTATTAAAACCTTGCTAATGACACTACTCTAAGTATTCACCACCGCACGTACAGCGCTTTACCTAGCTAGTCGCTAGCTAAATTCACTTGTTTTCATAATATCGTCGAATGACATTACTGGCTGGATGGCGCGCGCGCTTTTATATGAGGCAGCGGGCGGGCCTAGTACTTTCGGGAATGGACACTGGAAACTTCTCGCTTCGCATTGAAGCTTACCACCATCTATTGTAAAGTTTGACAACTATCGGACAGAAAATAGTTACTGGCTAATCCCTTGGATGGCGTTACACGAGGAAACGCGCGTTAAGCGTAAAGAAGCAGTTAAGTTTGTGTTAAAAGCAAAAAAACATTTTTAAATTAGCCATCACCCCCCTAAACCGCTTTAACGCCCCCAATCTTCTCTGTGCCCTTTACTGCACCCCTATAGGCCTCCAGCGCTCACAAGGGGGCGTTATCGCCTACTTTGAGAAATACTATTTTAGAGGAACTAAATACGACCATCGATTTTCCTCTGGAAGATTTAGACATGAGTAATAAGCAACAATGTATGTTTGTCTTTTGATTAATTCTCTCAATTATTATTAGTTCATATTGGAGTAAGGTTAATTAGTTGGATATCAAACCCAACATGATAGATAGTTAATCCATAATGTTCTAGTCACTGTATGATTATTGATTTCTCATATTTTTTTGTGCAACAAAGACTTAATTTACTCCAATTATTCTATTGATAGAACCCTCTCCAAATGATTGACTGCTACCGCAGTTATACAGGGCTCTTGGACATAAATGTATGTTGTCCATAGATTGCTTGACTCCTGTGATCTAGTGCCTCACATTTGCATGACGTGCTCTCGTTCTCTGTCCCATTGTTGCATTACCTGAAACTTTCAATGAAACTCTCACTCGATGTAAACTTTTCTTGAGATCTTTATTATGATATGAAGCTCCTTGTTGTCGCTGAAGGTATGCATTAGCAGCTGATATTTGGGTATTAGACTGGAAAGAATAGACAGAAGTGTTGTCGTTTGTCATCAACAAGTTATGAATCAAAACTGTAAAGAGAAAAAATTATATTTCGAACATGATTACATAAAATATATGGAATGTTGAGTAAAATAAAACAACACAACGAGTAGGATTTCAACAGGAAATACACACGACTAAAATTACCTCCTTATGATAAATTTGATATAGAAACTTACACAGCATATCAGATTACCCTTGAGAATACCAAGTATATCACAGATATTGAAATTTTACCTAAACTAACCTACGCTCTACAATAGTAAAAGGTATGATATGAGCGACAAAACTGCTAGAATGAAAGATGGCGATGTGTTGTACCCCTTCCCGCATAGCTTTATCTCGCTTTCCTGCAAATGAAAATGTATTCAACTTTTTGCTTGTGCATTTCTGAATGGCGACTTACGTTGGCATGCTTGTTTATACAGCTCATGTAATGCCTTCTTGGGAAGTCATTATGGGCAGCTCTAAAGCATGCCAAAGTCATGTTGTAGTCCACTTCTATGGGGTCTGGAGAGTCGACGACTACATTCTTGTCCTCCCAACAGACTTTTGTAATCACCAACAGGATCATGTTGCTGTCTGACACCTTTTGGACAATGAACGGCCTAAAAAGATCATATATTACTGCTATCTCACAATCACATCAACAATGGTTCAAATCGCTTCATCTCCCCATTCCCCCCATTAAAAAAATATCGAATGCAATGATACTATTTGTCTTTAGAGATAATTAAAACATTTCTTCATGAAGTGTAACTAACCCTCCTTCTTGATTAACGCAGAATATACAGTGCATTTCGTTAATGTCCCCCCCTTTTATTTTTGAACAGGTCAACTCTAAAAATAGAAAATTGGTATAATGAAATGAATGCATGAATACTTTATTTTGAAGTGCATCCCAGAATCTGATAATAAGTAAATGCCAAAACACTATCCCAGAAAACATGCCGTGGTAGCAGCCCGGTTCCCGGAGTTACTGTTTCCAAAGAGGGATAGAGAAAAGAAAAGCAAGGCGGTGAATAAGTGAATACGGGTTAGCCTTATACTGATCAGAGTTTTGATGGCCCGCCGTCTCTTAACTCCTGCCGCCACTGTTGATATTAAAAGTATGCGTTTTCACACGTAATGTTGGGGTTCCCCTATTTAGTAAGTCCAAAAAAAAGAAAGGTTATGATCAATGGTGTACTGACAAACAATACTGCTGCAGGAAGATCTGAATGCAAATCTGACTCCCAACCCTGTGTTTCGTCACGAACCTTTGTTCCCTGTGTAAAACCTGCTCACGGTCTGCTAATGAAACTTCCGTTAGGGTCTAGCTACCATAACGTCGTCCAAATGGCTGAATCGTCGATTTTATTCTCGGTTATTCCTGGGTTTGATTACATAATTCTTTCTAGAAAATATCCAGAAGAGAGTTGGGTACTCAGTTCACTTGGTAATCCTATACAGCGAACCCTTCAATCCCCGGGATAAATGAGACTTCCGACCAATATTCATAGTCCGCTCAACAACGTAGCGATGACGTATGCGGCCAGGCAGGGCTGTATGTGGGAGGTATGGAGAGTGGGGGTGGATTTGAAACATACTTACGCGAGTCAGTCGACTAAGGCTTAAACTGTACGCGGATGATCATTATTGTTTCATGTCTATCAGCCGAAGTCCGCGTCAGGATTACTTCCTATCGGTCGTTCCGTCCTCGTGTCTTTACCATACCTAGTTTCTTCATTACCTTTGTGAGGATACCCACTTGGTCCTGATTTCTACACTACGCTTTTTTTCGGGTTCTTTCATTGGGGCGGGACTTTTGTCGTAGTGCCCACTTGGTCCTGTCTCTCATTCTTTCTTTTTTTCTCAGTCTCTCTGTAACTCGTGTATCGCAACAAAGTTTTTTTCTCCATATACCGGTCTTGTCGGAACTGAGTAGACTCTTCTCTGCCATTCCTTCGGGACCGTTGTCGGGGTATCCATTTAGTCCTCTCTCTCCCTCTCTCGATTGATCTAGTGTATCCATATATCGATCGCATCACATATCATCTCAAAACATACTGAAAGGAGTTGATTTTGCTTTATTACGGGTCCTTTGAGGACCTACACTATCTATGAACTGAATAACTCTGGCCCAAGACCGAAAGTGTTACGGAATAGTTTAACATCTACGGAAAAAAGTTTGCCTCAGACACTTCTTATTTATTTTATCATGGAGGTTTAAGTCATGTCAACCAACAGGTGTTATTTTATGATACTGTACGTTTTCTTTCTTTTCGTTTAAGTGGTTAATCTAAGTAAACAGGTCGTCTTTTCATAGAAAATGTGACTTTTATTTCATGCGACAGGTTACGAGTACAAGGGAAAGCTATGTTCAGTTCCTTCTCTTTGAGATTTGTTCGTCGCACGAATGAGAGACTAAGTACTGAGTACGCCGACCGTTCAGTAACGAAAATCTAGGCCAGTGGATTCCAGTTTTGTTCCAAAGAGGGAAAAGGGATTTCTCTTTCTATAGCAGATATACCAGATGCCATCGACAATTGCGGAAATAGCCAAATGTTACACCCATGCTCAATCCCTAAAGAGATGGGATGGAATCAAAGGATGCAAACTTGCCAGGATCACCCTGGTCGACCCTGGGAAGCTGGTGCCGAAGAAATCTATGGCGATGACCAGGAAAAATCTACGCTCAACAGTAAGATTTCTGACTGGCCACTGTCAACTGAGGAAAACCTCCATAATATGGGGCTAGTGGACACACCTCTAATCAGGATGTGTGAACAGGAAGATGAGACTGTCAGGCATGTCCTACACCTGCCGATATAAAGGAGATGTCTTCAAGTGACCTGTCCACCTTCCTGGAAAGGATAGGATTGACGATGACCTAGGAGGACAACTCCTCGGGAAGATGTACAATCCGGGTCACATGTGGCGTAAGTGCTGTGGGTTTACACTTTCCGGGACTCAAATTTGGAGACTCAGTAATAACAGACAGAGAAGAGATATCAGAAATACTTGGAGAAGTTTTTGAGAAACATTCGGACAATAGAAGCTATACACAAGAATTTTTGAGAATGAAGCAAACTGAAGAAAGCACTGCGATCAATATAGAAGACAATAACAACAACCCTCTCAACCACCCATTACTATGAGAGAACTCAATGAAGTCACGTCTAAAACCAACGACTCTAGCCCAGGACCTGATTCAGTTCCATATATATTTCTCCATAAATTGACAGATAANAACCAAATTAAATCTGTAACCTCGCATCTATGGAAAGTCAGATGGCAGACACTTACAACAAACAAGCTCTACAAACTAAATCCGAACATGGAAAAGCCGAACTATTCTGGACTAAGCAGGAAACATCAGACGATTCTAACTCGCCTAAGGATTGGACATACCAGACTCACACATCAGCACATCTTGAAGAAGGAGCCACCACCAAATTGTAACTGGTGCTACACAACATTAACTGTACATCATCTATTTAGCTGTCCCCAATACCAGCAGTACAGAAATGCCCTTCTGCTACCTAGTGACATCTCCATCCTTTCGAATACAAACTTTAGAAAAGTGATTCAATATATCAGTGATATTAAGATTACCAACATATTGTAAATATTATATTGTTCCACCGCAAATGACCCTTTGAGGTCGAATGCGAATTGAATAAATAAAAAAAAATACACTCCCCCTCCCTACTCTATAGATACAGATATACCAGATGCCAAAGTTTCACAAAACCAGCCCTCCACGCAGCTGAACGAGCTCATTCTGAACAAAAAAAGTTTCAAAAGTGGAGACGAAAAAGATTACTTTATTACAAGCCCTTTTCTAACCATTCAAAATTGACATTTCATTTTTATGTTTCACGAAACGGAAGTTTATTTGAAACCCTTTTAGTGCTGCAATAACTAGTGCTAGTGCTAGTGTGTATGAGACCCTTCGGTATGTTATACTATTTCAATTCGGCATTGGCTTTCTGTGGTTGTGGTTTCTAGTAATGGTTGTGGTCTCTAGTAATGGTTGTGGTCTCTGATCCGGATCGGGGATGATTTTGTGAAATTATATATGAATGAGGTCCCTATCAGTATACATTCAAAAAAATCAACACCAAAACCTACCTCGAACATTCCACCATGGATTTGTTGTAAGCGCTGTTGGAAATATTCCTCTCCGAATAATGAACCAGCGAATATAACGACATTTGCGTGTCACACGGCTCAGGCTTCGTTTTTGTGATTGCAAACTTCTGGACGAATTCCTTGTCACTCAATGGCATCTCAGCGTCTTCAAAGTGATCGTGTTCGTGATTGTGTTCGTACTCGCGTTCGTCCGTCATCTCGTAGTGGGTTTCCGGGTAGTGTTCCGCACCTGACATTGACTCGAAGTGATGGTTACCAAGTGTTGATCTTACAAGGAAGATGAGACTGCCAACAAACCAGTTGAAGAGTTCGGAGAGATGGATTATTGGCTAGAAAAAAAGTATTGCTCAGTTTTTGGAAACATTTTGCTTCAACATGATAAAAAATTTGATTATTTTGAATGAAAATTTGAATCATTTACTCATTTCAATTATACACACATCGGAAAAGTCTAGGGATATTTTTAAAAATGGCAATAAATATTTTGAAAGTGATTTATAATTTTGGTTAGATGCCATAGTCAAACACTATTAATGCCATTGTAGTTTNGACACTTTCAGATTATTCATTTTAGCCGAAAACCTACAGTTTGTAAAAAACTTGATAAAAGATTAGTTACCGTTTTTGCAGGCTTTGTTCAACCCATAGAAATCTACAGGGTATTCGAGTGTACCAATTTAATCGAAATTAAACGACCTCATCCATTTATTTTTGTGATATTTAGTATGTTATAAAAATATCCCTAGACTTTTCCGATGTGTGTAGTTTCCTACCGTAAACAGCTTTGTTGCTGGACTAGATCCATCCTGAGGCTCAGCGCACAGCCCTTGGTAGTCGTACATCCTCGTCGCCTTGTATATCCCCTCTTCTACCAATTGTCCCATAATGTCAGACCGTATTCTGCCAAAGAAGAATCCCGTTTCCCGCGGATCATCGCTGACGATAACATAGCCATTATCGTCGAGGACCAGACAATGAAGTTCCTCAGAATCACAAGTTCTTTTGCACGGCATATCACCACACTGCGAAAAAAAACAGGTAAAATACGGCCCAAAGAAACTGAATTTCAAGTACTATTCGGGATGTTCGAACCCAAAGATGAAAAAATATACAAGATTTGTTAATACTTTGAGGTTACTTTACAAAATCCACAATTCCACCACTAACACAAGTGGATGGTTCAATTGCAACAACATCCATAGAAAAAGAAAATTCACACAGTCGATTTTCTGGGAAAGACACCATCCACCATTGCCACACTAGAATCCTCAATGCCAAAAATTACAATTAGTGAAGTGGCAATTTCTTAATTGTCAATCCTGACAAAACAGTATGTCTACAGCTTTATTCTCATACAAAAATCTCAAATGATTATTTTGTTCGCGAAAACAACAAAAATATATATTTTTCGGATTCAATAAAATTTCTGGGCACATATTTAGATGTAAATTTGAAGTGGAATACACATGTTGATCAGGAGTGTAAGAGACTCAGTAGTAGTTATTATGCAATTTCGCAGCTGAAAAATATATTCACACTAGAGCAATTAATATATTTGTACTATGCTCTCTCATATTCACATATTTCTTATAATACTGTCCTTTGGGGAAGTATGGCCAATGCTCGCAGATTTTTCATTAGTCAATAAAGACTAGTTCGTCTAATCTTTGGCTTAGATTACCGAATGACGTGTAGGAATCATTTTAAAAAGTTTAAATTACTGACGGTATCATCGATCTACATTTATAAAACGTAACATATTTATGTTACTCAACATCAAGATCTTCTCAGATCTTCTCTCATGACCATGCTACGAGGCATGGTGACTTATTTAGTAGTATAAAGCATCGTACATCACTTTACGAAAGCAGTCCTAAATATAATGGAATACGATTTTTCAATTATCTCCCAAGTGATATCAATAAATTCAAAACAAGATTGAAAAAATATTTCGTGCTTTTATGACATTAGTGAATATTTTGCTATCCACAGTTTTTTTGATTTGTTGTTTGCTTGTTTGTAGGGCGATATGTTTAAAGTAATATAGTTATGTGTGGGTACCTATATATGTTTGTCTATATAAGTACATCTTATGATTTGTCCTATATCATGTGTATGATCTTAAAAGATAAATACAGATTATATTTATTATTATTATTTAGCCACGTTGAATTCTTTCCATTCAATCTGTTGGGATGCATATATGCTTATTCATGGTTTTTGTATGTTGTTTACCAATAATTGCAACTCTCTCNAGTGCACCAATGAACTCGCATCAGGATTTTGCAAACTTTTCAACCTGTCTTACAAGGAAAAGGTTTTTCCTTCTTGTTGGAGGATTGCTCGCGTTCAGCCTATTCCCAAAAAGGGCAGGGAAAATCTTCCAAATAACTATAGACCAGTCACTTGGCTTTCAGTGATATCAAAAATCATGGAGAAAGCCGTAAACCACCATATTAAATACTTGGAAGACATTAACATCTTGAGCGATCATCTATATGGCTTTCGTATGTCATTCATATTTGGAATAACGCCTTTGAGAAACATGGAGGTTCAAGAGCTGTTGCGCTTGATATTTCTAAGGCCTTTGATCGTGTGTGTCATGAGGGCTTGCTGGCTAAACTTCGATGCTACAGCTTGTCGGATCATTTTTGTGTACGGCTCTCCAGCTTCCTAAAAGAACGTTTCCTGCAAGTGGCCGTCGATGGAAATCTCTCGAATACTTTAAGCAACAACGATGGTGTTTCTAGGGATTAATATTGTCTCTAACGCTCTTTTCAGTATATATCAACGACTTATTGGATAAAACCAAGAATCCAATGTATTGCTATGCTAACACCAGCACACTTGTCTCGTCATTCCATCTGGAATCCAGGACATCGACTGCGGACGCTCATCTTTATCGGCAGCAGGAGGTTGCATATCTTAATGAGGATCTAGAAGTGATTTCGAATTGGGGTGAAAGTAACCAGGTTCAATTCAATGTCACACAAACCCAGGGATCGATTTTCTCCAAAAAGATAAATGTCTTCGAGTCGGATACAATAACGTCAGGACAGACAATCCCACTTTCTGCTTTGATAAGTTTGCTGGGGGCTAAAATGGACACCAATATGTCTAGGCACAATTATGTTGCTGGAATTGCAAAGGCTGTTTCTCAAAAGCTTGGAACACTGTTCCGAATCACAAGACTGTACACACCTCATCAACTTTTGATGCTTTATAATGCTCAGATCAAACCTTCTTTGAAGTATTGTTCTCATGTATTGTACTTTATTGGTCAGTAATACATGACATAGTGTTTTGACAAGTTATTGACTACACCTAATCCTACAAGTAAATAAAATTTGTTTATGAATAAAATATACATATTGGATTTCACAATAAAAGTTATACATTTTCACGTCACTTTTTTTGGATGCCAAATTTCAAAATTTATAAAATTTATCTACATGTTTGTTAAAATGGGTTCAATAATGTTACACACAGTTTATCGACTAACATTGAGGAAATCGCTTCCTTATGGAACACCTTTGCGTATTATCAGACTTGAACTGCTCTGATTATTACAGTGAAATTATTTGGGATCTATTTTGAAGGTATGAAGTCATCAGTTTTATTGCGGAGTCAGAAAATCCATAGATATCTTTCCTTTGGAGCACCGCGTTCATGTGGAATGAACTTCCTGAGAACTTTTTTCCAAATGAGTTTAATCTCCAGCGATTCAAATCCAACGTGGATCACTACTTTCGCACAGACACCGCTCTTGAAGCGTCTTATGGAATTTTCCGTAGTGCTTGTGTTTTGTCCTTGAAAAATACCAGATTTTGGCAAACATTACTTTTAATTCTCTAGGATATGTCTGATGGAACACATGCTAGTATATGGAAATGAAGGAGTGAGCTTTCAAATTTATTGTGAATTTGAACTTACGCTTGAAGTTATTTTTGTAAAAAGTGCCTGTAAGGCACTCTGGTAGAATTGATAACCCACTACAGCTACTGGTGCTTTCCTTGACCCTTCTTCTTTGAAGATAGCTCTGCTAACAGTGACAAAGCTATGGCTAGAATTACCTGTGAAATGGAAAATATGAATGTCGTTACCTGACTTTTGGAAGTGTTTGTATATTCTAAGAACGTGATGAGGTTATTCGCTCACCTATGTAGTGTGGCACAGAATAAACGAAGTTATTTGAGTCCACATAATGGTGTTCCACTGCCCGCTTGTACCAAATCTCGTCGATGGCTTTATTATGGAGGATCCGGAAATTACTACAAAATGGCGGATTGAATTAATTCAATATATTATACTAGTTACTACTGAACTAGATGATGCAAACAGAATTGAATAAAATAATCAAGTTGAAGACGTAATGAAATTCAATACTTATTCAATTAAGCTATAGGTTAGGTTAGGTCCAAAATGAGGGGGTCTATTAAACCCTCTAGGGTTTATTGTGGCTCACACCTATTTATACTCGACCGAATAAACCCAGCTTCTTGACGAAGTCGATTAGTTTATATGGTGAGTGATCGTTCAGGTCAGGCGTAAAAGTGTGGTTCTACCAAACTTTGAAAACCTGTTTCGACCCACAACAGGGCAGGCACAAAGTGTATGCTCTGCTGTTTCATCATTTTTCAAACATATGATGATTCAAATGACAGTGACCTGTAAGAAGACCTGTTAGACATCGTAGTTCATCTCTACTGTAGTCCAACATATATTTGGTATCAAGCTTCGAAGGGTGAATGAATGCGTTGGAGTGAGCCAATCCTGGAAGAATCTGCCAGAAGTCCATAAATCTTCTTGCCATTCAAGTGTTCAATGTTTGTTTGGCAAAGCCTAAAGCGATACCAATGACAGGTTCTGGCCCAATGAAGCTGCTTGCAGCACCTCCTCTGCAAGGGAGTCAGCAGCTTCATTATCTTCCAGCCCAGTATGACCAGAAATCCAGACCAGAGACAATCTATTGAGTCTTCCTATCGGGGAAAGTCGTTTTTGGCAATTTGCTACAAATTTAGACGTTGTTCGGTAGGAGCCAAAAGCTTCCAACGCCGCTTGACTGTCAGAGAATATTTTTATGGTCTTGTGTATGAGGTTGGATTCTTCCAATCTCTCCGCAAACAAATACAGTCGCATAGGTTTCTAGGCAGGTTAATATCTCTGTCCTGGGTCTGCGACTGAAAACACCTGCACCAGAACCGGTGTTTTTGATTCTTCTGTGAACCAACAACTATCTGCTCTTACTATTTCCTTCTCCCAATTAAGCTATAGAGTCAAGTAACTGGAAACTATTTAAAACATAGAACTTAAAAAATTGTAACGACATGGAGAAAGTTTTGTGAGTATTTATGATATATCTTGCAGCAAAATAACTCGCAAGATGCTTCCTAGAAAACCAATCGCTGAAATAGGGTCGATGAAATGACATGACGGAACCTTCACGACGTTCAGAAAAGAAACGTTGGAGCTGAAAACTATTTTCCTGACTGATGATAACAATCAACTTTATCTCGTCAGGAAGAAAGGGCGAATCAATTTTTTAAATCAAAATACAAGAACAAAATGGTACCTACGAATAATTTCTATAAAAATGAAACAGGACTCTTTGTCTCACGATCGCTGTTGATATCACAAGAGAAAAATTTCACGGTATTTCGAAAAATTACTCGATATATGTTGACTCAGAACACTTTCTGTTTGAGATACGTACATTAAGAAAAATTCATGAAATTCACATGTAGTTTCACATTGATGTTAACTAAGTCACTAGGTGGGAGTTATCTATCGGTTTAAAAAAATAACAGTAGGTACGATGAAACTCATTAGAAAAGGAGGAGAATATGCTAAAAATGGAAGTAAAAACAAATTATGGGCGATCTGAGTTCGGGAAGTGGGAGCCGTATCAGACTAGCATGGCGAATCCATCAAAATTGTAAAAAAATTACATCAATTTGTAGCTAAATAGTTGCTAATTAGTTGCCAAAACAACGTTTTTGTTGCTCGTGCCGATCCCTAGAAATCGCAAATAATGCTATCGTGATATAAAGGTAGCAAGGTAACTCAATAAATTATATACTTTTCCTTTGATCTTTACAGAAGATTCAGTCAATTCCAATTCCAGTACATCAAGTTCCANTACCAAAAAGGCAACCTAACTTTCAATCGAAAATTCTCGCGTAAAAATATCAGCTTCTTTCTGATGGTGTAAAAAAATACATTACTATGGTGGATGTTATCAGAGAAGGCAAAAAATCGAAAAAACTAGAAAAATTGTACTCCGCAATTTGTATTTCAATAGAATTTGTAAAAGCTCCAAGCCCAAATGAAGTTAGTCATATCGGTCAACAGATTCGCATGAAAATTTCACACATATGGGTCTCTACATCAGTGTACTTACGGTTCATGATCGATACTCTCGATGTTTTGTGGAAAATTCTGCCATCTGGTGAGGCCACTGTGAGTGGCCATGAAGGCCACTACAACACCAATTTTTTTTACCAGTTCCGCTCTGCATGTAAGAGAATCATTGCATGAACATTTGCAACAAGAGCACAATTCGTAAAAATCTAATATTTCCTTAAATTCGTAAGGACTCTGGGACCTGAATGAAAAAAAGTAGTGTCCTTTATTCTCAAATAAGGAAGAGAGTAGATAGGATAGGATAGGATAGGATAGGATAAGATAGGATAGAATAGGATAGGTTAGGTAGGGATAGGATAGGATAGGAAGGGATAGGCCCGTGTGTTGGGCTCCCTATCGGGCGTGTCTCCAGGTGGGGGATAGGGGAACGGGCAGGGGACTGGAGGCCCAGTCCGGGAAGCCAATGTGGCCTTACGGACTGGGTCGCCGGACTCCTGGTCAGTGACAGAAATAACTAGGGTGAGAGGAACTATAACCCTACAAAAGCCTTTGCAAAACCTGCCACCGTGGACCCAAGCTAAGGTGTAAGGAATCGTGCCGACAGCTGAATGGCCACAGGGTGATATGCAGTCACGAATGAACCCCTATGGGGGACTGGGCGAATCCTCATTGTAATCAGCCTACCTCTGGTAATGCGGGACTCTCCAGAGGTGACCTCTTCCTTGCAACTCATGGGAACACACATGAATGAAACAACATAAACAACAAAAACAAAACCAATCCCGGAGTTGGACAAAAGTGCTCACTCCAATCTAAGGCGGTGGGTGGGGATGAACAGAAATGTCCACCCCAATCTACCGCTCGGAATGAGGCTGGACATAGCAGATCACCTCCAACCGCAAGGGAACTTCCTGGGCACTTGTGCGTCTCCACGGAGAGGACCCCAAGACGGTTGAAGAAGCCGCGCAATGACAGTAATATCGCTGCACCTTCCAAAACATTCGCGATGGCCACCATGAGACACCTCAAGGTTGCCAAAGAGAGTGTATGTTCGGCGAGTCTTGGCCTTCACCTGCCAATATTAAGGAGATGTCTCCTAGTGACCTGTTTACCTTCCTGGAAAGGACAGGATGGACGTTGACCTAGGAGGACAACTCCTCGGAAGGATGTAGAATTGGTCACATATGGCCTAAGTACTGTCTAGGTGAGTCTACACTCACCCTCCCTCCTATAACATGCTGTCACATATAACAGCTGTACATCTAATTATAAACCTATCAAACATGGAGTGCCCCAGGGCTCAGTTCTCGGCCCTCTATTGTTCATCATCTACATCAATGATCTACCAAATTTTTTACATCCCTATAAGTCAGTTTTATTTGCTGACGATACTACGCTCATCTTTTCAGGTGACACCTCGCCGGATTTGCAACAGTCTGTAAAAATTTCACTCTCAAGTGCTGAAACGTGGTTTTCATCAAATAAACTAAAACTGAATAATGAAAAAACAAAGAATCTCACCTTTTGTTTGTCTAGCACTATGTCGAGTGATAACAGTGTGAAATTGTTAGGTATTTTATTTTATCTTATTTTTGTTTCTCTATGTGTTGTACTCTTTTTAGATATTATTTGGACTTACTACAAACATTAGGTAATGTAAGGTAGTCAATGAACTTTCATTCATTCATTCATTCATTCATATACATATACCAGATACCAGGATAGGATAGAATTCGCAATAGGATAGGATAGGATAGGATATGATAGGATTGAATAGAATACATTTACATAAATAGGATATTCATTTCCCCAATAGTACATCTCTAACAACTAATAATGAAAATATTTCAGAGCAAATGTTTGGGGAGAAAAAAAAACTAGCTGATTGAAGTTACCATTATCTAAAGATGATAAAAGCAGGACTAAACTTTTCCATTTTGTACCGCATCAATAATATCGTTAATATTTCCATACGGAACTCAGATCGGGTATTGAAGAAATCCAAAACGACTTATGTTCGATCTTGTTCAACCAATACTCCCTACTCATAGTGACTATAGTTTAAAGATCTGTAGACACTAGACATTAAAATTTCATACTGTACCTTGGTATCAACGCCATCAATATAGACATGGGTCTTATTAATGAATAAAAATAATTAAATTAAACCACAATTCAGTCGTTGATATTCCATGGATAATATGAAAAAAAATGCTTACCCATTTTCTTCCTTGGTGGTGGTGGTGATATTTTCGTTGAACCAGTTGGTAAGTTTGGCATCGGACACTATTTGGCAGATGAGTTTGCGATCACCTTGAATCAAAAACAACCACGTATACGATTTGAACAATGGTTTGAAGATTATAAAGACACCTATGTCCATTACGCATTATGACATGTGAATGTGTATCTACTTATATGTCGTAACATGATATGAATTATGTTAGTATGATTATTCAGGATGGACACCAGTTCCCACGATGGTTTGTTACGAAGCCTGACTTCAACATCTACTACCGAATGAGAAATCACTTCCTGTCTTTCCTTACAGCCTTCACTGCAACTTGTAGGTATGGTATACCAACCTGTATGGTATACCATACAGTAAGACGCCATTTAAGACATTCAAGGCATACCTGTATGATATAAACAGGGTAATGATAATAATACGTCTTTATTCACCATAAAAATACAAATGGAATAGACAAAAATAAAATAAAACAGAATACAGGAACAATAACAAAAACAAAGAAAAAAAACTTCCAGTATATGGTGAATAGGTACCCATTTTCTTCCTTGGTGGTGGTGGTGATATTTTCGTTGAACCAGTTGGTAAGTTTGGCATCGGACACTATTTGGCAGATAAGTTTGCGATCACCTTGAATCAAAAACAACCACGTATACGATTCGAACAATGGTTTGAAGATTATAAAGACACCCATGTCCATTACGCATTATGACATGTGAATGTGTATCTACTTATATGTCGTAACATGATATGAATTATGTAAGTATGATTATTCAGGATGAACACCAGTTCCCACGATGGTTTGTTACGAAGCCTGACTTCAACATCTACTGCCGAATGAGAAATCACTTCCTGTCTTTCCTTGCAGCTTTCACTGCAACCTGTATGATATACCAACCTGTATGATATACCATACAGGTAAGACGCCATTTAAGACATTCAAGGCATACCTGTATGGTATAAACAGGGTAAGCCTTGCAAGTTTTTCCAGTTGGATCTTCCTCTGGAAGATGATCACTTGGTGATCGAAACACGTGTCGAGGTGTTAAAAATAACGATTTGGTGTTGAGAAAAAACTCCAGTAATATTCATCACTACACCAAAGGTTCTAAACAGTGCATCATCAGTGTATCTGATATGATGTTTTTTATTTACTTTAATCAACACGTATAATTAGGCTTCAAGCATGTTAGGGCCATTTCACCATGTCAGCCTTTCTAGAATTTGTGTTTGCGGCTGGATTAATTTGAATATTATGGTATGAAGCATTATCGGTCACGACTAACGAATTCACAGGTAAATTTGGGATTAACTCTTCTTGTAACCATTTACCATAATTTTCAGAATTCATTTCTGAATGATAATCCACTGATGTTGTGCCTGATTTCAATATAAGTCGAGAATTAGGTATAAAACCCATGTCACCTCCTGCATGGACAATAATGAGTCTAGGTCTCTGAAGTATCGACACCTTTGCCTTCAAAAAACTAGGAGGTGGCTTTGGAGTGTTGGAAAATAAAGTCAGAAAACGGTACTGTATGTCAAAACGTGGCCACCTTGATTTATACTTGAACGTATGTATCCCACTGTTTTTGTCTACATATATAGTTTCAAATACCTATTCATAATCTTAATGTTGATTGTACATTTCAATTACTTGTGTTTTCTTGTTCAATAAATCATTATTTTCTTGAATTTGTATCGTCAGTTTTCAATCTCTATTCTCAAACATTCAATATTTGTCGTGATGATAAAGACAATTCAATATAAGACTTACATTCTTTTGTCCATTTCCATCCCGACCGCTCCATTTTTTGTAGAAAATACAGCAGCTCCTCTTCGGGACTATCAAAATGTTTTCTATTGTCCAGGTACCGACAGTAATGCCTAGAATTAATGTATCATAGTCAAATGAAATTCCTCCGCAATCAAGCAATTTTGTAAGGAAAATATGTTCTCAACCCTGAAGATGAAATCTCTAAAGTTGGAAAATCTCAAAAAGCAATAGTGTTGGATGATGAAGAAAGGCTACATTGATGTCTGGTAATTTTCCAAGGTTGCGCTGGCCAGGCCCTATCTCCCGAAGCCCCGTTACAACATTATTAACCAACGACCACTCCCCACACCGTGGGGTAAGTGATCATTGGGTCCAAGAATAATGTGTGCTGAGCAAGCGCAGTGAGCTAAGAATGACAGCCTCCTGCATCTGTTCGGCCAAGATTTTTGCTTTAGTGTGGCAAGCCGGTATGATTTTAAGATTCAAGAGTAGAAAAGTAGAAAGAACAACCATCTTGATACAATGGTCTGGATAGTGGCTATGGAGTGTCTTATCTTCTTGGACGATATTTGTCTTTCCAGGAGAAAACTCCACAACAGATATCGTCTTTTTTCTGGTAGTCGAAAGGGACTACATCATGCTTCTGTATCTGTATCTGTAGAGGAGGGAGAGTGAGTATAGGCCCACAGCACTTAGGTCACATGTGACCCATTGTACATCCTGCCGAGGAGTTGTCCTCCTAGGTCATCGTCCACCCTATCCTTTCCAAGAAGATGGACAGGTCACTGGGAGACATCTTCTTTATATCGGCAGGTGTAGGCCGAGAGTCGCCGAACACACACTCTCTTATTGACGATAACTCCGGGCACTCGCATATGACATGTCTGACAGTCTTATCTTCCTGTTCACACATCCTGCATAGAGGTGTGTCCACTAGCCCCAGATTATGGAGGTGTTTCCTTAGTTGACAGTGGCCAGTCAGAAATTCTTATGTTGAGCATAGATTTTCCCTGGTCATCGCCAGATATTTCTTCGGCGCCAGCTTTCCAGGGTCGCCCAGGATAATCCTGGCAAGATTGCATCCTTTGATTCCATCCCATCTCTTTAGAGATTGAGCGTGGGTGTTACATTTGGCTAGTTCTGCAATTGTCGGAGTCATCAGGCCGTAGGTGCCACTGGGTCCTAAAATTCTTAGTCCAGCCGCTTCCTTAGCTAAAGAGTTGGCAATGCGATTACATTCACTCCTGTCATGCCCTTTAACCCGCCAGGCTGGAAGTAGCTGGACTCAGGATAATGTTATTGTCTACCAAGGCTTTGGCTAAATCTTGGTGGCACTCTAGTAATAACCCTGAGGTAACACGTTGTCTGTTCAAAGCTAATAGTCCGCTGTCAGTGCAGATTGTTATGTTTTTGCCAGAAATTCCTTTCCTGGTTATTTCTTTTGTGCCGATTGAGATACCAGCCAGTTCTGTTTGGACCACGCTGATATTTTTTCCCATTCCACACTTTATCCTTAAGCTAAGTGATCTGGAGTGCACTTTGTGTCAGGAACCTCAGTGACGTGGCCGAAGTACTCTTCTTGACCTACCAACTGAAACTGTTTCAGTTGATACGTCAAGAAATTCTTAGTCCAGCCGATTCCTTGGCTGGACTCAGGATAATGTTATTATCTACCGAGGCTTCGGCTAAATCTTGATGTCACTCTAGTACCAGCCCTGAGGTAACACGTTGTCCGTTCAAGGCTAATAGGGCTTGTCTGCTGTCAGTGCAGACTATTATGTTTTTGCCAGAAATTCCTTTCCTGGTTATTTCTTTTGTGGCGATTGAGATACCAGCCAGTTCTGTTTGGACCACGCTGGTATTTTTTCCCATTCCACATTTTATCTTTAAGTTAACTGATCTGGAGTGCACTTTGTGTCAGGAACCTCAGTGGCGTGGCCGAAGTACTCTTCTTGACCTATCAACTGAAACTGTTTCAGTTGATACGTCAAGAAATTCTTAGTCCAGCCGATTCCTTGGCTGGACTCAGGATAATGTTATCATCTACCAAGGCTTCGGCTAAATCTTGGTGGCACTCTAGTACTAGCCCTGAGGTAACACGTTGTCTGTTCCAAGGCTAATAGGGCTTGTCTGCTGTCAGTGCAGACTATTATGTTTTTGCCAGAAATTCCTTTCCTGGTTATTTCTTTTGTGGCGATTGAGATACCAGCCAGTTCTGTTTGGACCACGCTGGTATTTTTTCCCATTCCATTACTCTATATTCATCAAATCTGTTTTTTGGTACGGTAATACTATTCGTGGTACCTACCAATCTGGGTGAATGGTCCAATTCCCGGTGAAATAACGTACCAGTGGGTATTTCTCCCCCGACAGCGTCAAACGGTGTACGTCATTTTCCACCTTTGGCTCAACTCGAATGAAGCCATATTTGTGCGGGAGTGCTATGACCAGACTGAAAGGGGTTCCGTTTATGCCCCTGTAGTAATAATTCTTGGTCAATATGGCAATACGCCTCTGAAATAAAATAATAATCAGTATTTTATTGTAGCGAAGCAGTATATTTCACTGACCATGTCATCAATATGGGTCTTGACCTTCAAAGTAGCACTCCCATTGATCTGCATCACAATTTGCCTTCTGAACTCTCGAATTTCCTCACTAAAGTTTCGAGGTTCGGAGTCGTCATTAAGGATTTCAACCTCAACAACATCCACCCTATTATAGGCAGGTTTTAAAATGCCTTGATACTGAAATAATAATAAACAATGATTAAATCAGTGAAAATGATTTTGAGAACGTGATTATGCAATGTATCCATTATGAAACTTATTTATCTTCTTGGGAAACAGTCTATGTATGATTCGTGTAGTTGTTATAACTTCTCCGTCTCAGATTTATAGATACCTCCGATTTCAATTATATATAGTTGTTTTTCCTGCGTCTAAAATCCTTCAAGTTGTTCTGGTGCCCAGAAGAAATGCATATTATTAAGAATAAACGATAGTAGAGAACTGCACAACCAGAAAATCAGGAAAAAAACTGCTTGCAAGTCTCAGAGGTACTAAATCTTTCTGTTTTGAATATAATCATAAATGCCTTATTCGAAAGTAGGAATGTTTATTTTGCCCAAGGACAAATACATCTATAAAAGATGAAATTTGGAAATAATTTCATTATGAATTAATGTCAATTATTTATATTTATTTTATTTATTTATTCAACGAGTAACCGTCAATTTTTATACATCAACTTCAGAAAGTCAAGTATTCTAGTATCTATATATCTGATGAATCAACCTATATAGAGAAAATTAAAATTAAATTGTGATAAAAGAATAGTCTTATAAATGTATACCACGTAGAGTATATTTAAGAGTGCTCTGAGAGATGTGAAAAAAAAACAATATAGGTCCCATTGGCATTCCATAGAATTCTGGTCAAAGGAGAATGTTTTCCATAATTACACCTATGAAAGTCGAGACTGAAAGTTTAGTTGTTACGTGTTCTTCTTGGGGGAACATTCAGATTAACTTGACAGAGAAGAGTTGGGCAATTTCGTTGTTCAACAAATTATGTAGGAATATTATGTCTGCATGTGCCCATTTTGTACAGAGTTTGGTCAATCCAGTACTATAGCGAATTTCAAAGAGCGAATGACTTCTAGCTGGCATGTTCATTTTGTAAGCAACGTATCTAAGAAATTCATTCTGAACTTTCTCAATATCGTAACTGTGGTTGAAGTAAGTTGGAGACCAGATACAAGTGCAATACTCAATCACTGATCTAACCAATACAAAGTATAGTATTTTAATAGAAAAAATGTTGGTAAAATCTTTAGTTGATCTGCATATGAATCCAAACATTTACATCGCTTTGTTAGATATGTGTTCATACTGTGAATGAAAGTCCATCTTGTCACCCATCATAACACTCAGATCTCGTATAGATTGTACACGTTCCAACTTCTTCCCTGCAATACTATAACCAGCTGTATAAAGGTTTAATGACTTTGAAAAGGAAATACTTTTACATTTTGCCACATTGACATCCATATAATTCATCTTACACCAATCAGATAAAGTCTTGAGGTCCATTTGAATTTTCACACAATCCTGCAACGAATCTATAGCTCTAAAAATGTTTAGATCGTCTGCAAACATCCGTATTTCACAGTGGGTAATTTTTTCTTTAGTATCATTTACAAAGATATTGAAAAGAAAAGGTCCCAAATGACTTCCTTGAGGTACTCCTGAGATAACAGATATCTCGTGGGAGATAAATTCTTTAATTTTCACAAACTATGATCTATCACAAAGATAACTTGAAAACCAGTCCAACAAACTCCAAAAAAAGCTAATTGCCCTTAATTTTTCAACAAGAACTTTATGGTTCACGATGTCGAATGCTATTGAAAAATCGGTGTGAATTACGTCCACTTGTTGTTTATTTTCCAGAGCATTCAAAATATACTGGGTGTACAATTATGAGATACAATTGCATCATTAGTGCTCATAGAAATCTGGAAACTGAACTGTTATGAAAATATTCAATTCAAACCGTAAAAACGTAATAATGGAAAATATCATTCACATCGGATAGATTTCAATTACATACACTTATAATAAATGTCAAATATGAAAAGTAAATGACATACTCCAGGGCCACTATATTTATTGTGTATTGTCGAAATGAAGTATGATCATAAATTGAAGCTAATTCAAAAACTGAAGTAAGATCTTATTCAAATTAATACAATTTTTCAATAATTTCTCGAGAGATACGTATTTTGTCACTCAAAAACGACGTATCGAAGTAAAAAATCAAAGATTAGTTTAAAAATGAGATCAAAAATGAATTTCATTCGAGAAAAATCCTTTGGCGTCCTTTTTTTTCTTAAAAAATGACTTAATTCCTGTGTCCATACCACTGTTGAAGTTGAAAATATTTTTTTCATTGGGAAATATAAACCTTTATCAACTGTCATTGCTTACCAAATATCAATGGGGTGTCCCAAAAATGGTTTCCGAAATTTTCGATGATTTCAATTTTCTTTTCTTGAAATTTCAACACCTCGCATTTTCGTAGGTAATGGATAATTTTTTAATCTTAGTTCGTATAGCAAAATTTTATTACTTTTCAATGTGAATTAACACCTTTGTTTATTTGCATATCATTAAGGAACACGCTGTATTAAGTACATCATTATTAGACCCTGTTCCACCAATAACATATATAGAAAAATAGCATCGAACTTACCACAGGCCGCAGATCAGGATGCGTCAAAATATAACCATTATTGGTTACTATGAATGCATAACCATTCACCCCTAACTGAAAAAATAGGATGTCAGATCAACATGATAAGGCAGTATATTTTGACTTACCCTGTATGGCAACATTAGTCTCTGTATCTGCTCTATAGGAATATCCGTACCAGCAACACCTAGAAGGTTCGCCACCCTTTCCTAAAAATCAAATAAGTATCACACGATGATACGAGGTAGGTCTGAAAGCTCTACAGTTTTTGAGAAAAATCTGCCATGGATTGTCAATAATACCAAATACATTTTTGGAATATTGTTTTATAATAGATACAGTTTTCAATCAACTAGCTCTACATCTACATATTCTACAACTAAAAACACAACAAACTTTTTCTAAATTCACAAACACTCTCTATAGGACTCCCAAAAATTTAAATATCAGGTAAAGTACTCTGGTCTAAAACGACTGACGCTGGCCTAAACACTTGTCTAAAAGTTCTAATCAGCTGTGGTGACCTATGACGTCTCACAGTGGTCTAAATCCACCTAAAACTCCACATTTTATTCGTTACTCTGGTCTAAAATGTACACATTAGTCTAAATCGTATACGCTGGACTAGTATACACTGGTCTAATATAGAAAACGCTGGCCTAAAGTAGAATACCTCGCGAGTGACTGATATCCATATGGCTTCGTTGACTTGAATTTGCTCGGTTATGTTCTGCAGAAATATTGATAAGTTGTCCACGTTTGAATTTTGTTTAGTGACAGACAATATTAGTGAGGTATTACACTTGCGTAGGTGAAATTGGATGATATTTTCTACTTCTCTTGGGAAATTACATATTTCCATTTCTTGGCGAAGTATGGAAGTCAAAGTGTTGCATTATTTTTTTTCTATAACCTCACTAATATGATCTTTAAACTGTCGATAACAACTCTACTTACCTGGCGAGGTCTTTTGTCGTATACAGGCAGCGATACCGACGTCATAAGGTGGTATACCTGAGTATCACCATAGTTGTCTTGTTTCTAGAAGAATGTGATCATAATTTAAATAAAAAAGTTACCCTGTAGCACTCTTACTCACCATTTTTTGCTGATGAACAAACGTTTTGTCCATTTGGTCTGTAGACAGCATGTGTTTCAATTTTCGATAGCCCATGAATCTTTCCCTTTGCCTGTTTCTCTCCCGGTTGACCCATAACCAGTTGGTCAGTTTAGGATCTGTGACGTCAGCGTAAACCGGGCTCCATGTTGGATTAGGTTTTTTGTTGGCGTTCAAAACCATTGGTCTAGCCATGACAGGAATGTAGTGTAGAACCTCTTCCCTCACTTCGGCGTAGGTGCTGAGATGAACATAATAACCTGTTAAGGAACCCCAAGTATTATTTTAATTCAATTATGCTAACTTTGAGCTCACCTTGGTTAGCACACGCCATCCACTTCACTTCCCTGACATCCGACACCTCTCTTCCGATTAGGTAAGTGAAAACTCTCACATTCATGAAAGGTAAGTTCTCCCAGTTGTATTTTTCGAAGATTTCTTTGAAATTATATTGGACCCCATCGGTAACGAGCATTATGGCTTGGTTACAGTTGGCACCTGTAATCATTCAGATCAGCTTTCCAATCAACACAACTTAGTCTACTTGAGCTTCATAATTGCCCTGTGTAAATATTAGACTAGGTAGATATAAAATATTAGTGGAGTACTATTCATTACTACACCAAAGGTTCCAAACAGCACAGCGTAGGTAGATATTATCGATATTTTGTTGAACATGTGATAATAAAGGCAATATCCAAACATGAAGAAAATTCAATAATTTCGGAATAACTAAAAAAAACAATTTGAATTAAAATTTTTCGCTCATACTGTATGAAGTACTTAAGAAAAGGGTTCCAATATATTTGAATTGACAGATACCTACAGATTAATATACTCCTAGATCAAACAATCAGAAATCAAAAAATGGGTAACTTCAGAATATGTTTCTTCAGAAAAAAACAACAGACCACATGCCAGGTTATCTGATTTCCTTTTCAAAGGAAGAGTTCGGCAGAGCCAAACTCTTACCATCTGACCTCAAAGACCATTCACCATATAAACTAATCGANTGATGGTTTCGTGTCCTCGAATTATACTGAGATTTGAAAGTTTTATATCTTTCATAAATGTAATCGAGGAATTTTTGTGTATTGACGAGTAGGTGGAACTGCCAGGTTTTAGCAATCGGTAACCAACCTGATTCCTCGAACTTGGGGGGTATTTGGTCGAATTTTCTCACACCATAAGAAAGACGAAGGCAATGGTTTTGTATTTTTTGTAAGCGATTTACATCAGTTTGTATCAAAGCAGGCCCGTAGATTATATATGCAATATGCTAATCTAGACAATATGTGGGTTTCGCAAAGTTTCAACTTTAATGGAAGTCATAATATCTCTACTTTGATAGAGTTGACCTAAGATACTGTACGAGCTACGACAAAGTGAATTTGTTTGTGAAATCTCAGATCAGTATCTAGTCACAAACCCAAGTTCTTTCTTTCTGTAATTATTTGTATTAAGTCTTGTCCAAGTTGGATTTCAATTCTTCCTTCAATTCCCCATCTTTTGTGTTTCGGGCCAAAAAGAATAAGCTGAGATTTTTTAGAATTCGCTTATGGTTATGGGCTATAGACAGATCCAGTAACTTTTGTAGATCGCTGTTAATGTTTTCCATTGCCACCTGCCAGTCACTTGGAGAAAATCGATGATATAACTGAGTGTCATCTGCATAATGATGAGCTGTGCAAAGATCAATTATTTTATGGATGTCAGATACATATAGAGAAAACAGAATGGGGCAAAGATAGAGCCCTGAGGTACTTCATAGTCAACAGGTACAGCACTAGAACACTTTCCATCCAGATATACTGACTGAGTCTGATTTCTGAATGTGTAAATTCATATTTGACAATCATGAGGCAAGTGTTCACTAAATTTGACATCAGTTTTTCCATGAACCAGCTGTCGTTCAGAAAAAATCGAAGATACACGATTCTTGGGCATAGCTGGGCTAAGATACAAGACGCAAGAAAAACCACAATGATGAGAAATCTCTCATGTACAGGGAGTTCATTGAATATAAAACAATAATTCAAGACATTATTCATGGACTATCGAGCATATTTTGTCCCATTTGTTAAATATTTCCGACAATAACATGTCATTAACAGAAAATATATTTTTTTAGAAGGGTTAGATATGAGCAATTATGCAGCAGACAATGTGGCACCTTGTCGTTACAATCTATATGCACTTTCGAATCACAGTAGGACTACTTACAACGGGCAGATACGTCCTCTTTTATGAACAGGAGGAAACAAAGCAGCACTTTTGTGGTTTTTTTTGTCCTTCTCTCATTTAATGAGCTAAACTATGTTGATTGATTTGTATTTCATGTTTCTTCTGATAATAGACGTTAATTTCTACTAAAAACAAATACAAATGGAGCTTCTCAATCTACATAAACTGTTGAAAATAACTACCTCAGGCTAAAATGCAAATAGTTTCTTAATCAACCAGGGTCATTTCTCACTGAGTTACAATTATCCAATTTCCTAATCTTTTACAATTTTCATAGAGAAAGAATGAACTAATGACTACAAAGTCTCATCAGAAAATAATTCAAGAAGAATTCATGTTAGAACTTGGTCATTGTCAGCTCAATGGCATACGTACTTTCATTTTGGGTACAGCAAATTTGAAAATTAACAATATGGATTTTTCAAAAATATTTTTCTTTCCATATGTTTGAAACAAAGGCCACTTTCCTGAAACACAGCCTCTTGAATTTTTGCCGTATGTTCACCAAGCACCCTGTGTTGAAGACTGTTTGTCCCCCTTTTCTAAATTTTCTGTGGCAGTACTTATCCCAAAAGTTGTGAATATACAATTTACCTTCTTTGGATACTCTGTATTCCTGCAGTAGCTCGAAAGCAGTTATTAGAGCCAGCGAGAAATTTGCTATTTGTTCAGTCTTGAATTCGCTCATGCTCTCTTTGAACACCCTGACGTTCGCCAGATTCGCCTGCAAATTTAAAAATAAAGTTCCACACGGTTCCACTACTGGGCCACTTCATCTCCAGTGTTCAATCCTACACACCTGAACTAGTTGACTATCGAAACACTCGACCAAAGGCTCCGTAGTGTTACTAAATGTGTATATATTGACGTAATCGTTGTTGCCTAGAGTGTCTAGAATGTTATGGACCACGTGTCTGGCTATTTCTCTTCGCATGCCTGTCATAGAGCCTGATCTGTCCACGAGGATGANTAAATAATTTAGGTATTTGTATTTTCTAGTACCCCTGACGATGAGTTTAAGTTACTCGAAAGCTTGAGAATAGTTATAAAGAGTTCACATATCAATTGCTGCAACCCAATAGTTATTATTGGTTTTATTGGTTTTAGTATAAGTAATATGCATCGATATAGAAAATTGTAAATATCTCGTAAACGATCACCTCCAGCGTTGTTGAGGAAGTGTACCTTTTTTACTTGGAAAAGGTGTGTGAATTATGTTTTTCCATGAAAAGTACCAAAAGTTTACTGTCAAAAAAGTTAGGGCAATCAGAAATAAATAATGACAGCGTACGCAGCCCCCTCTAGATGTCTATTTTCAATATGATACTCACATCTCTCATACACGTTGCTTGGCACATGGACTGCACTGTGATTCAAATTGACATTCATATCATAGAAATTTCTGTTTCTGACGAGAGGTAACCTAGATTTATCTATGGGCGGCTTGAGGATAGCTTGAGGATTTTTTTCGGATCCATCGGTTACCTGAAACGATAACATAATTTCAATGAAAACCAAAGGACTGGCGCATATCAATGGTGGAAGGGGTGGCACGGCCACCAGATTGAAGTTCACTAAGGTTTACTTGTCTTTTCGAGTGGCATTTAGAGTTGAAAATACGTTTTACCTCCAGATCAGGATCCAAGTCTTCATTTCTAGAAGAAAGGTCTTCGGGCAAATCAACAGCTGTTTCAGCCTATTGGGCATCGTCAGTACCGGGCAGGCTCATTTATTACAACTCTAGAATTTTTTTCAAGTAATTTCTCCGACACAAAAAAATTTCTTCTCTTTCTATAGGAGCACTTTTCCCACCTCTTTTCTCAAATTCAATGTTTATATGCTATAATGTGCGCAATTAAACACGTTTCGATATTTTGGACATCGATTCATCGGAACTTATTTCGGTGCGACTTTTTTGTGGTGGGATTTCATTTCGGAAAAAAAAACAAATTGAATTTTCTACGAATAGCATATTTGGTGCAATCATCAAGCTGAATTTATTTTTTTCTTTCATTTCATCCTTTAGATACATTATCACATTCACCTTCACTTTCTTTAAAGGTTTCAATAATTCTGTGAACACTTCTAGTCTATATGCAGTCCATCTAGCCTCTCTCTCCAGAAAAATATGGAGAGGAGGTAGTCCAACGGGTACAAATATAACGATCTTGCTGATCATTCGGTAGAGGGTTTCTTGTCTGCGAATAAACCGGCTGGGTTAATATTCACCAAGTTCTGAATCTTTTTCAGTTTCATTTGTTTTAGCTGCAATAACCAAGCTCCATCATTTGATCACAAAATCTATCAGTATATCTCACAAGGAAAACATTGATTTCTGAATTTTCAAGTTTGAATTGCCGTACTTCAATGCCAATTTTGAAATGAAAATCGATATATTTCTCAATATTTTTTCAATTACTATATGAAATTTCTGGCTTTGTATGTTGTTTGAGCAAAATTGGGAAAAAACTCACCCTTGTAGTGTCTTCTGAAGAATTTTCCAACGAATTCGTCAAATTCTTGGCATTATAAAAAGGGAAATCAAAGTCTATGTCTGTCTCTTTCTGTGCTTGAGCTATTTGTTCCGCTTGGTCCATGATCCTCTGGAAAATAATATTGACGATCTTCATTCAAACAATAACTGAATTGAAAAACGCATTGCTCTAATATGTACCCCGATGCTGCATTCTTTAAAAAATATCAGGTTGTTTCAAAAGTTTAATCCCCTTTTGTGACACTTCAAACCGTGATATCCTGATTGGCGAAGGTTCTGCTGGTGAGAAAATCATTGGAGTCCGTAAAAGATAGTAGTTGATTGATGAAAGGTCTGTAGAGTATAGTGGGCAGAACTTCCACGCCCTATTCGTTTAATTTTCAGACGGTGATATGTAAAACATGCAGTTTTGAGGTTTACAAATGAATGTTGATATAAGTTTTAAAAAGGAATGTGGGTTTGGTTGAGGTTTGAAAAAATGTTGATTTCAGGTTTGAAAATAAATGTTGATTCCATTAAAGTTCAAAAATAGAAATTGTTTTGAGGTTTAGAAATAAATGTTGATTTGAAGTTAATTTGATTCATTTCATCAACACATATTTCATTGGATTTCGTTGACTTTTATTATAACATAAATCGTACATAAGAAGTTTTTTCTTTCAGTTCTATATCGTATCTTGTAGCCAAGAAAATACAAATACTCGTACCGAATATATTCGGCACCGAAACCGAACGATTCGGCCGAATACAAATAGTGGAGAAAATACCGAATACACCGAATATCGAATACCAAACGAATATTCGGCGCATCATTATTAGGTGTGTTCTGTTTCTAAGTTTGTAGTGTTCCTAATCGTTCAAATTCAGTGAGTCAGCTGTGGACTGAAAAGCTTTACGCGACAACATGCTCAGTATTGAGTTGGGTGACTGCCAGGAACAGTCCGGGTAGAAAACCAGAACAGGCCTATCATAACACTATCATTGCCAAATGCCTGAATTATTTTCCGGGCTGTTTCAATTTGAATTCGTAGAGAAAAATTGGAAAAAATCATATAGAAATAAGCTAAAAAGAAGCAAAAAAATTAAATTTAGAAAAAATTAACAGTATCAATGTATTTGGATATGAAGCTACAAAAACACTTGCCATTAAAACAGACAAAAATTTTTAACGAAGTGATATTGAATATTGATATCTAAGAAATTATATTCAATAGAGTTCTTGTTATCTTTCTTCATTTTTCGCAGAAGAAAATCACTCAGTTGATTCAACAGACATCATAAAATGAACTATGCAGCAAAAAACGTAAGAGGTTACATGGAACCCACTAAAAATCTCTTGAAACTTCCGAAATAAACTGAATCATAATTACCTTGACCGCTTCCACTTTCTGTTTCATCATGTGAGAGATATTCTCATGAATGTTTTGTAAAAGAGCGTTGCCATCTTCAACTACTAGTGTGGTTTCTTTGAAACTCTGAAAAGAAACGTTCGAAGGATGAGACAGTGTTTTTTTGTGAAATATAATGTTTACTCACGTCTTTCACCCTGGTTTGTCTGGTTACAAGGTCACCAAAATGCCAAAGCTCCCCACCAAGTTTTGTAGCCCAATTTCTGGCCCTAGAGAAAAAAAGTGCATCTATACACAGGGAAACTGAGCGATCACAAAAAAGTTTATCCCATCGTTATTTACACTATGAAAGAAAAATAGATTAGATGTAATTTGTAAGTTGAAATGAGGTCAATTATTGTTCTAACTATAAGTGACTTGGAGCTTTTTTCAAAGGAAGCTTCTTCAGAGATTGAAACAGAATGAGCGAGTTTTTCTGCACTGTTTGAAACATTTGATGTAGTAATGAATATTACTGGAGTTTTATCCCAACACCAAACCGTTATTTTTAACACCTCGACACGTGTCGTCTCTTGAAGATTATCACTTGGTGATCATCCAAATAGTCTTCGAAAATCGACATTTAAAACTGGTGGCCACAGCCGTGGCCACTTTACCGCGAATGTGTCCACTTTGCCCGCAATGTATGTTGCATAAAACTTGATTTTTGGAACTGCATTCATCACAAACAAAACTAAGTAGGCCTATAATATCAAGAGCAAGATTACGGCAAACTTCAGTTATTCTAATTCCGTGTTTTTTTTACAGGAGAATAGTATGGTGTCCAAGTATAAAAGGAAAACCGCTCAGCAGTCCTGGAACTCTGAAGCTATGCAAAAGGCCATTGATGCAGTGAAGAAGGACGGGTTGCCTTGGCAAACCGCAGCTAAAAGGTTCCAGGTACCTCGAAATACTTCAAAACGGCGTGCACTCGACAAAAATGTTCAAGCAGTAAACACAAAAAAGGTTCTTGATCACTTTCGGCCCATATTTATTGAGGAGCAGGAAAAAGAAATAGTTAACCATCTTTTGGACATGGAAGTCCGTTTTTTGGTGTAACAGTCGCCGATCTACAGGCTCTTGCCTACAAACTCGTTGTTAGAAAGTGCATACCTCATAACTTCAGTCATAAAAAAAGCTGCTGGGAGAGATTGGGTACAGGGATTTAGAAAACGTCACCCTATGATTGCATTACGGAATCCTGAGGCGACTTCAGCTGCACGGGCTCAAGCGTTTAACAAAACTAATGTGTCAAAGTTGATGAGACTGGGCTCTTAACAGTCCATTCCAAGTCGTCCAAGGTCTTTGCTCTAAAAGGTCGGCGACAAGTCGGCTCTTCAACATCTGCTGAACGAGGCGTTCTTTCAACTTTTGTAGTCTGTGTTTCGGCTGGAGGGACATTTATACCACCCTTTGTGATTTTACCACGGCGAAGAATGGAAGTTGAACTGCAAGATGAAGCACCTCCTGGATCAGCTTTTGCATGTCATCCTACTGGTTGGATGCAAATGGAAATATTCACCTCATGGTTTGACCACTTCTTAAAATTTTCAAAGCCAACAGAAGACGACCCGATTCTTCTGGTACTAGACGGTCATGCAACTCACACGAACAACTTAGACTTCATCGAAAAAGCCAGAGACAATCATGTCACTGTTTTGTGCATTCCCCCTACTGCAGTCATGAAATGCAGCCACTTGATGTTGCGTTTATGGCACCTTTCAATACGTATTTTGTACAAAGCATTGGAAAGTTCTTAAGAAATAATCCAGGACGGACAGTGACTCAATTCCAGGTTTCCCGGCTACTTGGTGAAGCGTTTTTGAAGGCAGCTACACCAGTTATCGCCATAAAAGGCTTTAGAAAATGTAGAATCGTCCCAATCGACAGAAATGTGTTTACAGAACGGGATTATGCAGCTGCTGAAACAACTCTACAAGAAGACCCTGCGCCAGGAGAAGAGAACACCATCATACAAGTTTGTGCATCTTCATCTCAGACTGTCAACAACAGTAGCTCAACAGAACTCATTGGTGGTTCTGAAAACCCCAATACCGCCTTCATAATGGCATCCCTACCTTCTGTTGA